GTGAGGTTAGCCTTGAATTGCTAGCTGCGGCTAATGGCTAATAATAATGCGCCAACATTAATGCGGGCCACCGGCCACGATGACTTCAGTAATAGGTAAGTTTGAATGAAAGACACTAAGCTGTTTTTATCCTTTTGGTATTGACAATGTTATCGAGTAACAAATATTTTCCTGTTTTGGAGAATACTGATACGATACACTTTGGCTGCCGGGACATGAATGTTAAGCTTGCGGAACTTGTGAAAAGATGCTTCACAGAATTCATCTGACAAGGTCACATGCAATTGAAGCCAATGGTGTTTGAAGAGCAGCAGCGGGCATTTAGAAATCGTCTGGCATTTCTCAAGCTCCTGGTAATTGCTGCTTGTGAAAAATACGAGGTGTCTTTGCCTTGCTTCGATCACTAAGAACATGTGACTTGAAAAAAAGGGAGTCCAATCATCATGTGACAAGGGTGCACTTGCAAATTTAGATATTAGTTAACTGTCTTGTGATAGTAAAGGGGGTTAAAACAAGATGAAAGTTGGATTGGAAAAGTGAGAATGAGTATACCTGGTTAATGTATAGTGGTTTGATTGCATAGCTGTGGCTGTTTAAAACTAAACAACTGCCTTGAGACTCTCAAGCAACTTTAAAAATGAAATAACTTATTATTAAGAGAGGGAAAAAATTGTCAGTAAATGAAAAAAATGCCTCACATGCTCTCCATGTCACTCCTTTTTCTGCTTTTCTTCCATAGCAGTAAACCAGTGTTCCTCCCTCCCCTCCCATCTGAGAGTTCAGCTTTTTTCATGTTCTTTCCACTGTAGCTTTCCCTTTTTTTATCATTAGGTCATGTTAAGTGTTCCAGTTCCTCTAAGGGCACATTTTCTCCAGTTCCTCCTCCCTTCTTAATCTTCCCTTTTTTCCATCTGCTTCTCTATGTTGTAACAACCAAACACACAACGATTCCTAAGGGTTATGCTTCAAGTCGAATTTGAGGAGCAGTAAGAGAATTCTCAGCAAAAACCCACATTTTTATATTTATTTCTATAGAGGGAGGAGAGGTGCATCATGGGAGCCCCCAGCAGTCTATAGAGGGAGGAGAGGTGCATCATCACTCAGAAGATTCCTCACTGAAGGACCAAAAACCAAAGAAATGCCATCTATATTTCCTCCCCGATATGCTCTTGTCCAAAGACAACAACGCCACTTTACTCTCACATCAGAAGCAGGAAAATCGGTTCAAACCGGGTCTTATGTCTGTCAGCCATGCTTGAATTTCCGATACCTTCACCTGGGTTCATAGATAGTTATGGCTCTCTAACATCAGCACAACAGTGGAAAATAGTGCCGTGCTGTCAAATGTCACATAATCGAGGCAAGTTTGAAGTGACGGTTGGGGATTTCTATTAGCAAATGCTGAGCCTTAAACTGTTCTACTCACTTCTCCATGAGTAGGCCGTCTGAACATCGACGTTGGCTGCATTTACAGCGTTGATGATCACAGAAGTCACAAAATCGGAAGGTTGTTGCTGCTGAGTAGGTGCTAAAACTGGGACAGAGGAGAGGTGCCAGCCCCCAATGGAAACACATAAAAAAACAAGGAGTGTTTTGCACTGAAAAGGAACTGAGTGGAAACCCTCCTAAATACCAACCATCCTGAAGCTGAATGGCTTGGATGTTTCTTCTCAGCTTCCAGAAAAAAGGAGTTTATGTCGGGAAGCTTAACTGATTTTCCTGAAATGCGGTATTAATTTATTTTTTTTAAAGGTGTGGCATTTTATGCTGTGTACAGATGTAATCACTGAGTTGTGTTACACGTACAAAATTCTGCTACAGCTAATATAAGTTAGACCAATCAGACTTAGAAGTATGTTCACATTTTGCCGTGGAAAACATTGTGTTCTGGTGATAGGCAAATCACAACACATCGTGACAGGGAACTAATCTGGGGTCAAAAAGTCTGAAGAAATCTAAAGAGAGGAAAGCAGTTCACAATTCATGGACACGCCCACTTAGTCACTTGGATCCTCACTCTACTGAACACACACAAGGATGCAGAATAGTTTCTGACTCATTTATACTAGAGATCATACAGATTAGTGGTTCCACCTGCTGTCCAATGATCTGTCAACAAGGCTGAAAGCATTTTTCTGTAACATAAAGATGGCTCCAGGGATTCTGACCTGTCTGCATCGTCTCTGTTTTTCCAGGTGTCCACATTCTGATTGCAGTCGGTGCAGTGATGATGGTGGTCGGCTTCCTCGGGTGTTACGGCGCCATTCAGGAGTCCCAGTGTCTGTTAGGAACAGTGAGTCACACAGAGACACTCGCACATGGCTTTTTCCTTCCCGATCCGCGCTCAAACAATACAGTCACCAGGAAAACAGCTATTGTATTTCTGGCGTTTTTATACTGGGAGCTCTGGTCCGCATGAAAAGTGAGCCAAACCAAATGTTCACAGAAGATCTGGGGATAGGTTTAGTTGTATAGTTAACCAGTTTAAAAAAACAAACATTTTATTGAGCTTTCTAACCTGTTTTTTAGTGGCACAATCCGTAGTACTGTAGTCCTGTGTTAAGGACTGAAAAGCTGATCAGAAATCAGGACACAGCATTACATTGAAAAGACATGTTACCAGTAAATCTCAAAGGGAATCATTTTAACATTTGGCACCCTCTAAAGTTAAAAGTAATTGTCGGCAATTAACTTTTTACTCGTTTCTGTCTGTTCTGCAGTTCTTTGCCTGCCTTGTGATCCTGTTTGCCTGTGAAGTTGCTGCTGGAATCTGGGGTTACATGCACAAGGACACGGTAAGCCTGCAAAGATACAAAACATGCCCTAAAAGCACCGGATTCAACCTTAAAATCCACTTCTGTGTCTGATAGAAATTTCTGTGTATGAACATTCAGCGTTTATCTTTTTGCTTTAAAACAGCACAGAGCGTCATTCTGAACATATTAAAACAAGTTATACAGCTCATTGTAACATACATACATTTCCTTTAAAGGTCTCAAAGGATATGATCACCTTCTACGACTCCGTATACGACAAAGCCATGACACCTACCTTGAGTGACCAGGAGTCGAAGAAGGCCGTTGGTCACGTGCTCAAGGTCTTCCACGAGACGGTATGATCATTTACTCTATCTGCATGAATTAGATGTGTTGGCATCGCGAATAGGACGAAGACGGAACGGGCGACGGGCTAACTGGAGACGGGCGATACTCAGAACGTTATTTTCCCGTCCCTTTGTGTTTCAGCTAAACTGCTGTGGAAAGGGCACGGGGAGCTCATTCTTCACACAGCTGACAGACAAGCTCGGCATCAGCGACCTCTGCCCCAACCAGCAGTACTCCATCGTAAGTACCGTCTTCCATCTCCATTCAGTCACCCCTTAACACAACGACAAATCCTCAGGTTAGCATCACCTGAAAACTCAAAGAAGTTGGGAAGTACTACACTGACGCTGAGTACTGTACATCCACCCTCCTTTGTAATACAATGCCTGTAAAGTTGATCTTTTAACCAACATACAGATGCTTAGAAAGACCCAGTGGATGTGTGACAAACTTCATAATTCCACCGTAACTCACTTTTCAACTTTTTGGATATCTACTGAAAAGATTAAAACACCATATTTTCAAGCACGTGTTTTTACCTGTTGAGCGTTAGGAGGATGGTATTAAAGAGCAATGGAGCAATGGATGATTCTATTGTACTGTTTCTTCTTATTCTCATTAAGTCTGAATCCCAAAGGCAGTGGAAAGGCTAATTGAAATACAAGTGGTGCTAAACATGCTAGTTCACATTCATATTGATGATGCCTCATTTGAAAAGCTTTAAGTTCCTGTTGTGTCCATATCAAATTACACATATTAGGACAACTTTAGACACTCTCAGCAGCATTTAACTCCACTATTTCCACAATTTCTATGTTAAAGTTTATTTATTTATTTGTTTATTTATCTTTTTATTTTTTTACAATAACTATAATATCATAAGAAACATGGTCAAAGAATTTAAACATCCATTTTCAATACTGGACTGGAGCCTGTTCCCGTTGTTTTACAAGATGCAAAGCGTACTGACAGCAGAAATTTGTCACAATGGAGGAAATAATGATCTCCCTCAGATTAATTTTGCTTTAAAAGGGATTAAAATGATGTTCTTTCTCTTCCAGAGCTGCCACAGCAGGATCCAGGAGCTATTCTCAGATAAGATTTACCTGATTGGAATAGCTGCCCTCATCATCGCAGTTATTATGGTGAGAAAAACATCCTACCTGTCCTACATTTCAGGGATCTCCTCCTTGACTGGAACAAGACACCAGTGTTAATAATGAGGTGTTTTTGACATTTCGGTACAAGTGAAATTGTAAACTTGTAAATGTTACGTTAACTTACATTACAGTACAAGTTAAGTTTCTGCAAAAAGCTTAGATAGCTGGAGGTGCTCTCCAAGGCCAGATGCCCCCAGGAAAGATCCCACGTGGCCTCCCATGGAAATACGCTACCTGAAAAACTGAAAAAAAGCACTAAAAAGTGCTTAGAGTAGCATATAACGCAGTTTATTTACTTTTTGAAAGGAACCCCTCAAAACTAAAGTGTGGTGAACACACCAAATACTAAAAAACATTTGGAAACAAGCTGCTATCTGTATCCTTCCTAACCTACTTCATATAACAATAGCTTTTTTTTTGTACTTAGAATTACTTTGATACTGAAGTACTCACTTTGGATAGATCTGGATAGATGTAGATATCCTCTAAAATGAGGGTTGCTTTCAGTTCATACTTGTGTCAAGCAAAAGGTCACTTTTGACTACTTTAGTTTACTCTAGTCAAGAAATCGTACAAAAAAAGACAAACTACATCCGATTACAGGACATTTTTATGCACCCAGTTCATACAGTTGTTATTTGGAACAATTAGACTGCAGTTTTCCCTCATTGTGTTTTAGAAGCACTTCAACAGAATTATTTCTAAAGTGAGTAGAAAAATTTATGGTGGTACTAAAACAAATTTCAAACTTACCATGTTGCAAGAAACGTTTAAGACCTCAAACGACCTGCAATGTCCAGAAATGCTATTGTTACGGGGCTGAAATGTGATGACCAGTTATATATTCCAGAAGACGTGCTGTTTTGAAACACGTCCACAAAACGTTCATGTCACAAAAGTGTGTACTTTTCTGTTTTTACATGTACCAGAGTTTTACTAAATACACAGGCTACTGAACTATGCAGCATGGATGCGTTCATCCCACCTTTGAAATGTTTTCTGATGCAACAACAGGGGTAAAATAAGTAAACAAAATGCTAATTTGATCTAAATCTTAGCAATTCAAGTTTTAAAAAATTAAACCAAACATTTGGCCCCACTGTGAGACTCACGGCTACACAAAATGGCGCACGGGAAAACTTAAAAGTTGTGTCTTGTAATGAATCAACACATGACCAAATCAAACAAAAATAAATGTGGGCATTCTATTTTAGGTGTGCCACCCTATGTTTGGTTTTCCTGAGAAGTCTCTCTAGAGTAAATCTAGGATTTGCTCCCTGATGTGCTCATTGCTAATGAAGACCCAACAGGAGTCTGCCATACGTATCACGCTTCTATAAAACAGAACAACATATTTTACTCTGAGTTTTGCTTGAAATTTTACTTGATTTTTGACAAAAAAAGTATGCTTCTGGCTAGGAACTCTAAAACGACTGAGTTATTTCAGTATTATTTGAAACAGACCTGATAATCTAATGAGAATGCTCGTTCACAAGATTTGTGAACCTAAAACGAAAGGTTTCTGGCTTCTTCTGAAGTACAATAACCTCTGGCAGGCAAGTAATCATGTATGCGTTTACGTTCACAGCTCTTCGAGATGATTTTCAGCATGGTTTTGTGCTGTGGGATCCGCAACAGTCCGGTGTACTGAAGTGACCGAGTGCCAACTCATTCGCCGAAGGACGAAGTGATGACCACACACTCAGCGTCTCTCTTATTTTTTTAAAACTGTATAACCAGGAAATTAACACATATATAGCATGCTGGATGTAGACAGATCTTTATTACCATTTGAATAGTCTCTGCGGAACTTTATTCAACCGTCGATTTCTTTTTTGTTAGTCACAGCTGCTGTCCTAAATATTTCACCAGCTCTATGCTTATATGCAATTATATTATATTGCATTAGTCTCGTCAATTTCATTCTCCAGGTAGTCTTTGGTTGGTTTTCACTAATTTCTTGCCAAGAGACATGCTCTTATACTCTTTGTTTTATTGATTTAATTTCACTGTGTCATGTGTAAACTATATAGAACTATGTACTGACAGTGGTTAATGTCTGCCTGAGCATGTATGTTGTTATATTGTATTACATGAAACCCCACTTCGAAATTCCACCCCGTGTTCTCTGCCGCGTTGTCCAGCTCTAGATTGATTTGCTTTGTGGTGTACGTGACTCACAGACACTCTTGTCAGTCAAGCATGTGTGTAGGTCGACCTCCACAGTCCTGTGCCGATTGCATAGATGGTGCTACTCAATCATAGTAGATGCTGCCAAAGTTAGTGATAAGGAATAGATTCTGAGTCACTGCATGCTGGAGATAGCTGTGGGAAGAGCTCAGATGGAGGCAGTCTGTATATGGTACCATGGTTACGCCGTAGACATTTAAATGTGTCTCTCGCTCTACTGCCTACTAACTTTTTTATATTCACATCTCTTGTAATAACTGGTCCGTTTTCATTTCACAGCACTGTCACCTCTAACTAACCATAAAGAAACACTGATACATCGCATTTTTAAGGATCTCCCATGTAATCCTAGGTGTTGTCGAACGGTTAAAACCTTGCCTTGATAACTGTGTGCACTTATTGTCAGAAAGAGTGGAGGTGTGTTACACGGCTAAATGGAAAAAAAAAAAACTTTTGTAAAAATAATATATGCCTTTTTCCTGTTTGTATTGTCATACCTTGTTTGGTACATCAAATTATGCTGGAAAAGTGTGGAAGATTTAGTTGATAAACTGGCCGAGGAAGAGCCAACGCCACATGGGTAAATGCCAACCCCAGTCCTTCTAAACATTAAAGGGAAATGTATAACGGTAGTGCAATAGCTGAGTTTCAAATCTAAAAATACTGTCCTTCCTGTTCTCCAGTATCCCATGCTTTTTACATTTCAGCTCCTCTGTGCCCCAGTAGATTTTGGTTTGCCCAAATATGAAAGGATTAAATGTATTTTACAAACAACTTTGGTATTGTCTTTTTCGTGAAATTCTGAATGAAAAGAGGGGGCATACACAGACAGTAGAAACAGCCTAGGAAAGCATCCAAACTGAATCCATCCAAACTCCACGGCTTTAAACTTCCTGGAAGCTCTGATTTATCTTTTCCATCCAGGCTCTCAGCAGCATCTTTCCATATCTGCTCTACCTGCTCTCCATCATTCACGTCTGCCTGGTACCACCTGCCTAAACTCTTTACTAACTTTTCCCTAATTAGTGGAATTCCTTCTTCATCTATTACAGACTTCCAACCACTTAACTTCCCTCAACTGGTTGAGATGCTCCTGGATTTGTTAGGCATGTTTTTCTTACCAGCCCACTTGAGATTTTTACCAAGTCTTTTCAGTATTCTCCTCAAACATGGAACCTTTGTAGTCAACAACGTCACATCATCAATGGAAGCCCTGATTGGTGGAAGGCTTCTCTCTCTATGCATGAATAGCTGCTTAAGATCAGATAATCCTCTGAATCAAACTGCTCACTTGTCTCCAAGCTGGAAAAATAAAACTTGGACTCCAACAACTCAATGAGCCTCAATGAGAATTTTATTAACACACATACAACCTTTCTACAGATTAAAAGGGAGAAAGAAGCCATTCTCCATAAAAGAAAGCTTGATTTTATTTAGAATAAAGAATAAATACTTGCCTATGATCAACATTTTTTGCCACGAGCTGGTTAGGAAGTTGATAATCATTAATAGAAATAGAAAACGGAAATTAATGTAGGTTTTGTGGTACGATTTTACAAGATTACTTTTACATTTGAATCCTCAAGTGTATTATTTACACTTATGCATACATACAATGATACATATACACATTTAATCGTAGAGAGAAACACATACTGTCCAAAGGTTGTTCCTGCTCTGTCTACTTGTTCTTGCCGAGTGTTCTCTGCTTTTCCGCATGCTCCACTATCTTCTCTTCCACGTAAAGACCTTTGCGTCTGCGGACTGCATTCATGTATTTGAGAGCTTGATTGACGGAGTCTGCTTTCTCACCGAAGTGCAGATATTCTTCCTCTGTGGTGGGAACCCAGTACGGGTCACTGCCGATCACCTGGAACATGGACAAATGGCAGAAAAAATCCTCATCTGAGATACTTAATTCCAAGGATATTCATTTAAATCAAGTCAGTGAATGTGGAAGCCTCGTGCTTTTCTACATATTACAGTTTTGCGTGTCTTGCACAGCCCCAGGGACACAAATAGAAGCACCAATCTGTCAGGGTATCAGCTGTTCAATTAAAAAAGAATGCAGTGATAATGCATTGCTTCAAAATACTTGTTTTCTCTCCAACTCTGATCCACAGTAAAAAAAAACAACAACTAAACACTAAACGTGCTGTGACACTAATGTCCTGTTGATGCATGATTATGAAATTCATCAGCAGCATCAAGAATAAATAAATAAAAATCGTATTCTACAGGATGTATTCATTTGACTGAGGGGGGTATCAGATTTCTAAGAGCTCGCTCCACCAGTAAACATCAGATTTCATGCAAATTTAAGGTAAAGGACACAAATATGGAGGCCCCAAAGAGACAGACCTCAGTTCTGTTCACAATAATTAGGAATCCCTGCTTTACTCAGTGTGCCATATTCTGATCACCCGTACTGTGTAAAGCAGGATAAAGGAATGTTAATTACTGGGTTGAGTCAATTACCTCCCAGTGGCTGAAAATAAGCTGTGGACTGGCCAGTCCGCTTGTCCTTTTACGGATCTCGTCGGCAAACCCAAAGCTCTCGGCGACGGGCAAAACGGCCTTGATGATGAACATGTCCGTCCCTTCCTTCATCTCTTCGTGGAGGACTCGCCCCTCTCGCTTCCCCAGCACACCATAAACCCGACCTGTAGGAAGAGAAACCGCATAAGCAGCGGTGAGGGCATCAAATAGACACGATCAGTTCTTCAAAAATATTGTTCCACAAGTGAATATGAGAGAAAAAACTAACCCAACTTGCCACTGCTTTGACACTTTAATGTGGCACATTCTCAGTTCCATTACACCAAAGTGACAACAGCTTGTAGTATACCTGATCCAAACTGTATGTATTTTTTATACAAGACTTTTTTTAAAACGTACAGCTTGAATGGATTCTCAGTGTATTTTAAAATGTTTCTTTAACCCTTATGATGAGTTATCATCCTATTCCGAGAACTATTTACAAAGGAGCTAATCAAGCATTCCTGCTGCCAACAAAATAAATAACATCTTGGAAAAAGGCTTCACAAGTAAAAGTTATGCCAAGTGTAAACATTATTTATTATTGTGTCTATTATGTGTGTTGTAAGGGCTCCTGGTTTTTTGGGGGTTTTATATGTTTTACCTACCAAGCACCTCTGCAGTTGCCATGATCTCACAGGTATACATGGCTGCCATGAGTCTCTGGGGCTGAGCCTGGAAAGCGTGACGGCAGGCCTCCTTCATGGCGGCGATCAGCTGGCCGGAAACGGGCCCGTAGCAATCTGTCGAGGCGGCCTCCGTCCGGCCGGCGTCCTGCTCGCTGCCGTCTACTCCTCCGTCCGTCCCTCTGGCGGAATCCTGCTGTGACTGAACGTCCCACCTCTCGATGGAAAAGCACACGCCCATCAGCGGCTCCTCGCACAGCGGCCCCGACAAGGTGGCCAGCTGGAAGCCGCTGACGATGCTGTTGTCGAGGTCGCGCAGAGCCGCCGCCTGATTGGTCGGCTCGTCCTTGTTCAGACACTGCCACACCGAGGGACGGTTGTAGTCCTTTAGGCTGTTCAGAAGAATATTGGGACCAAACCTGGAGAAAAAAGAAACAGCAACACCATGGAAAACACATTTAAAAGTATAAAAACAAATTTACCCAATAACCAATTCAATGGATTCAAGTGACAGTGTAAATGCCTTAAGTTCATAAGAACCTATTTCAAAGTGCACTGATTTTCAGTATACTTCTAACAAGATTTGTCACCCATTTATTTTATATACACACATATTATATACACACATATTTATATGGTCCACTTTCATGTCACCTCAAATGTGCATCGCATTATGTTGGATGTCATATTTCCTTATGACTAAAATAAGGCAAAGATATGACTTAGACTTAGACTAGACTTAGACTTTATTGATCCCTTGGGAAGAGTCCCTCAGGAAATTAAAGTTACCAGCAGCTTACCGGGCAAAAAAGTGCCACACAGAGAGCAAAATGCAGAAAAATACAAAAAGAAATAATACAAAAAATACAGGTTAAGTACAGATATGGTCATCTTCAGGCCTGTCGTTAATTTTCTTGGAAATAAAACACATTATATCTGTGTACAATTTTCTTTTTCAGGTAAGTATCTGGCCCTTTTTCACTTCTAAAGTCCCACCTGCGAGGGCCAAAAGCCCAGATGCGTTCCACGGCGTTCCTCCATTTTCTGCCTGGCAGCAGGTTTTCCAGTTGCGCCTTCAGTCCAGCAATGGCCTCCAGGGTTCTGAGGCTGATGTCCACAGTCTTCCCCTCCCTCAGAGACATGTTGATTTGCTCCAGAGTACGAATCACGTCCGAGCTGCTCTCCAGAAGACACGTGGCATCTGTTCAAAAGCAATATCAATGTCAAAATGTTGTCAAATACAATCCTTACTGCAAAGACAAATTTTGTAAAAATGATGGAGTCAACACTTTGGGAAAATGTTAAGACAGTATTTAAATTAGTTAAACAATTCAAAAGCTCTAAATTTGAATAAAACATTTTTTTTCTTGTTAAGAAGTTAAAAAATGTTGCGACTCATTGTTGAAACAGCATTTAAAAATCTGAAGTAATGAATGAACATGATCAGAAACATGCCTTCTACTTTGTCCGGATGAGAGAAGGCCTACCGAAAAAGGCAGATGAAGGCACCTTTAGCAGCAGCTCAAGAGTCACAAGCCAACTTTTGTTAGTCCTGAAAGATCTTCACTTGCATGCTACGATTTGCCAGTAACATTCCCCCTTGGACTGTCATAATGTGGGGTGTACAGAGTGTTGATGTGGCCATGCTAAAAAGGCTCTTACTAAGGGCCATTATGGAGGCGTGACATGGAACTGTGAAACATATTTCATTGGGGGTAGGCGAGGAGCACTGAGTGTTGCTCGGAACTGATGGCGACAACATTTTGGATTGTTTTACACATATCCATAGGTGTTCCTTCACCTTCACTTTTGCCCCAAATCCTTTGGAAAACAGCCTGTCGTAAAAGGCCTGTTTCATCCAAAACGATATATAAATAAATAGAGTCTTATATATACTTTGGCCTTGCCTTGTCAGTGCGGTGTGGGCTGGGGAGCAGCTAATATGGTTATGGCTTAGACTAACCCCTGGCCGACTTTGTAGTTGTGTTGTCAGATCTGCGGCCGTTTGGAAATTCAAGTACAGAGAGGGCCAGAGCTGTCAGCTGATCCCCAAAGTAAAAGCTGCCTATACACAAAACAAGGCCTAACGAGGCCCCAGAAAAAACTGACAGGACAATGTGCGCACCTTCACTGTGTGTGCTTGTATGCGTACGCAGTTTTATAAAACTCGCTTTTTTCCCCCCGGCGTAAGCAATTTTCGCCTTGTGGTTGTACATAGATTTTTTTAGTATAGATCCCTGCAATCTTATATAAATGAGACTCTAAATGAGACTCTCGAGATGATTCGTGCAACTTCATTATGGTCCAACTTCATCCCTGACCCTTAAAGCCCTTCCTGACTTAAGTATTAGCAAAACGGCTTCCATGCTCATAAAAGATTGGAAACAGTTATTTCACATTTATTTCACAGTAAATGAATTGACTCTATGCCCTGTCTATGATAACAAGACATTTAGTATTTTGAAACATTTCTTTGATTGCGCATTTACTAACTATAGTCTAAACTTTTAAATGAGTTCAGATGGATTCAGGCTGATTGTGTGGAGCTAGATCTTACCCTGAGGTAATGGTATTGCACGGATGCCAACAGTTGCCAGTCTGTTGGGAGTGGTGAGGGTAACCAGACCACTGGAGTCGATCTGTATGCTTTCAGATAAACGGCCAGAAGAAGATTCTTCTTTCACCTGGCAAGACAGCGGATATGTTACTGCAATGGTTAAAAGTAAAATGACCACAGATGTGATCATCATGATATGTCAAATATAACATTTCCTGTCCACCATTTGATTGTACTTATATAAAAAAGAAACCAAAAGTAAGAGATTACACCAACCCGCATAACAATACAACCAACTGCCCAAAGTGCAAGTCACAGATTGACAAATAAAAAACTGAGGGTGGCATTGTGAGTTTGCAATGCCACAATCTCTTAAGGAAGAAAATGCCTTAGCTTTAGCTTACATGGAAATCAACATCCTGCTCAACAATTTGGTTAAAGGTGAATGACTTTTACGGGTGGCTCACCTGATGAATTACAGCAACTTTCTGTTGCTTTCCTAGGTCCTCATTCACCATATCAACTTTTGGAGGACGAACCACAGTTTCTCTGAACGGGATGATGGGCTTTGAGACGCTCATTTCTATTTTTGCAAACCTTGAAAGACAATTCAAAGGATATACATTATGCCCTTTTAGAAAAACTTTCAAGAGGACTTACTGAATTGTATGAGACAGTCTTTAGGTTAAAAGGAGTAATCCAGCGGCTGAAACAGTATTAGCCACAGTCAAACCCAGACTAACAAACAGAGGTTACACCTTCAACCTTATGTATAAATGTATGTTTGTAGCTGGCTAAAGACACAATGCATTGTTGGCTTTCTCTAAAATGATTGTGTTAACGTATTCAAACGCAAAGAAGCCAATCCTCCAGTCACATCAAAATCACAACACGTGGATATTTATCATGTTGATTGTGGAATTTGTTTAGCGGTGTTGCTATTTATTTTAAAAATACATTGCAGTGATGATTCCTCATCTACTGTTAGCTTTAAAATACCAATCTCATAGCACCACTAATTACTGCCATTTTCAATATTTCAGAGTTAACATTCAATATTGATACTTTGCTTAATGGTAAACATCTAGGTAATTCAAGAGGTTGCTAACTTTACATTTCATGAAAAAACCCTAACAATATCAAATGCAGTAAAGGGAACGTGGAGAGGGCCACATGTAAACCGCACAGCTGCAAGATAGAGGAATCATCATTCAACACAAGAGAATTTGGTTAACAATGTAATGGTGTAACAAAGTTATTTTGAGAGCAAGAATCCCTTACAAGTCCATGTAGGCCGTCTTCATTAACTAATTAGCAAGTGCTAAGCTAAAAAGAAATTAACAAAACCTGACTGACTGCTTACAAAGCAATCCACAAAATGAAATTACATAGAAATTCTAAATATGTTAATATGTAATTTACTGTTTGTAATAGCACATGATTTAAAAATAATCTTGAAAAAAAACTATAAATCCCACAAGAAGTCAGATGCTTTGGACAAAAAGTGACAAAACACAAACTCTCTGCAGGGATTAGTTATGATCAACACCATACTTTCTACACCTCCCATGAATGAACATGTAATGTTAACTTAAAGAGGACTTCAGAATTTGTCCTAGCCCACAAAACTTCCACAAATGTCCAATCAGGATGGAAGGGCAGAGCTATAATTGCTGGATAAACCTGGATACACATACACTGAGTACAGCCAAATGCTTTATTGCCATCAAGTGACAGTATTGCTTTTCTTAAATAATAGCTTCTTTTTTTTTCTTTTTTAGATGATCCACTTCAAGGTTTTTTAGATTATGTCTGTCACTGTGGACATGCACCTACGATGACAATTTCAGATCCCTCCATGATTTCTAAGTGGGAGGCCTTCTAAAATAGCAGGGTGTTCAAATACTTATTTTTGTCAATGTATATACATGTATATATGTATATATAAATCTGTATAGAAAACACATGGACAATGCTAACAAGTCACATGGCAGAAAGCTATAGCTAAATGGCATAGTTAGTTTAAGACCAATGCCTCTCAGCTGCTGGCACAGTAGTGTCAAAAGCATAATTCAGTTTAATTCATTCTGGATTTCTGATCTGCTTAAAAAAATCTTTGATAAAAAAATTATGAAACACACTTGAAGGCATTGCCACAGCTGAGTATCAGGTACTTGTCACTTATTTAACATTTTTAACAAATAAGGGTTCTCTGAACAGACATGCACCTCAAAACAAAATACAAAACGTTTCAAGAAATCACCAAAAAGATAAAAACACAAAAGATGATCAGAATAACTCAACTGGAAAGGAGAAAGAGATTACTATTAGCAAGAGAACACCACGCAGTAATAAAGACTACAACCCTTGAAAAGGAAGAAAGGGTTTTGAACAGTTCATAGTGGAAGGTAAACATGACACATGGCACACACTGACCTCTCTCTGAGGTCATCCAGACAGCGTTGCAGGTGCACCTCACCAGCTGTGACCAGAACATGCTCTCCGGTTTCTTGTATCAAAACCTCAGCACACGGATCTGCCTGGTTCAACAGACGCATGCCGTGCACTAGTTTTGGCATCTCACCTAAAAGAAACCAATCGGATGTCATTAGTTGGATATCTCTACTTGGTACTTGAGCAGAAAGCACGGTCAGCTTCCCACAAAACAAGCACAAGTGATGTCTAGGTCTGTTAGCAATCTATGTCAAACAGGAAGAATCAGGTACCAGCTCCTCCCAAGACGTTTCACAGCCATTCCCTTAGATCAAAACTCACCGTTCTGACAGACAAGCTATAGGCTAGAAGGACGAACTGTCATCGGTCAGGGGGTTCAGACTGTAGCCCTCCTCTCTACTTTAAGATGATCCTCCCCACCACGTAGTTTAGAACTGAAAAAGCCTTGATGCTTATGCATTAAGTAGTAGGGAGGGTTAACCCTACCCTAACTGTTTGGGATGAGAGGAGAAATGTCTTCAAGATCCATGAAGTCCAGCTGCTTTTACTCAAGCTTTTAGGATTACCATGGACTGGATGACTGAGAAGCTACATCAATTTAAGGAATATTTCCAAACTAATGTCAAAGGCTTATCTTGTGATGATCATTTCTGATTTTATTTCTACACGGTCTACTTCTGGGGTAGGCATATCTATCTAAATATCAATAGTATCCATACCAAGTTGAGTACCTTTAACCTGTATTTGTGTAAGCTGAGTGGAAGCTGAACTTTATTTCTAAGACCAGTGTCTCACCACTCATTCCCCAGGTTTAGACCCAGTTCGTCTTCCCAAGCAGTCCTGACTTCAGTGACTGGTGAGGCATCAAAAGACAGATTTAATTTTAGATACTAAGGGCAATAAATTAGTAAAGAAAAGATCCTTTGATACGTAACCCCTGAGGGACACAGTATAAAAGGGATATCAGACTTTGTGACCTGTAATACTGAGGTATTGGTAGTACAGCCTTCCCTTTTAGAACCATTCACACTTTAGCCCAAGAATGATCCAAATTTCTCAAAAGCGTAGGGACTAAAAGTACAGATCTGAGACAAAATGTTTTTGTGATCCCCTGTTCAGTCATGAAATCCCAGGAAAGAAAATGGAGAAGGAGAGCAGAAAAAATTGACAGAGGCTCAATAGCCAGTGCAAACAACAGAAGAGATAGTGGAAACCTTTGTCTGGTGAAATAGTGAAAAAAGGGGATGGTATGCCATTTCTATCTTGAGAAGATGTGTGAAGATGATAATCCATGAAGTGAATACATTTCCCATTCCAAATGTCTTTAATACAGTAAATAGGCAGTCACATTCAACCGTGTCAAATACGGTTCTCAGTGTTGATGGAGATTTCCACTTCAGTTGCTGTTGCGTTAGTTTTAGAGTTGAGTGTACAGAGAATGAAGATTAGCCACCGCCCCTCCTCTTAACAAATCCAACAGGCGCAATGTTTTTCAGGCGCTATGCCAAAGATTTAGCAGAGGGTATTAGCATCTACATTTATCAAAGGGAGAGGTCTGTAAGAGCTGCAGAGATTTGGATTCCTATATTCTTTTAAGATGAGGCAAAGGGGTAAACTGGCAGCAAAAGTGGTATGTTGTAATGACTCCAGGCATAGGGAGGGTTTATCCTGAATACTTTTTTTAAAAATCGATTGGAAATTTACAAAATCTAGATTTTCGTATGTGAAATTCAACACAAAGCTGAGCAACTGGTACGTGTACACCAATAGATGTTAAATGAATACACATTCCACATGTTTGGTAAAGTAAATGGTGAATGACAAAAACAATCTACAGAATTTCATATAAGAAGAATAAGTCACACTCCAAATATTAAATATTATGCCAAAACTTACTTGGATGTTTGGGTTCTATTGCAACCCGCACAATGGGAGTGGCCTCAAAGTTGAGTGGAGTTAAGGGTGGGCAGGCAGGTGATTCTGACAGAGTGGCAGACTTCAAGACAAACTCCTCCAACCCGCCAATACCTAGAAGACAGATAACCAAAAGCATCATTCCATTTATAGCCAAACCATACCCAATTAAGTTTTATCAGAAAATGGATGGATGGATGGACTGACAACACCACAGAATACTAAAAGACAACGGTCGAGCGGCACACAGCCTAGATAGGTTTCCAGTCCATGGCAGGGCCACACTGAGGAGCACTTGATTGAGTATATAATAGCAATGCGAGAAGTAGGGGGAAAGAGTGTTCAAAACAAACTGAAGAATGAATCCTAAACTGTGGGAAGCCAGTGTGGTCAATCTAAAATGGGGGAAATGTGTTCATATTTGCATGTGCCAGAAAAAAGACGTGCCGTAGCATTTGTTTTACAGTACTTCTCCCTTTGATAAATGTAAATGCTAATACCCTCTGTAGCTGGCCATTACAGAAAGCACTAACCCCGCCTAAAGCACATTACAGTAATCCAGCAGAATGTGCTTTATTTCTGCCTGCTGCCTTCAATGATTAAGGCAGTCATTTATCAAGTGCTCTAATCTGACGGCCAAATTTCAGATCAGCCTCCACTTTGACTACAAGGTTTGTAATGGCTGGCTACTTATGTCAGGCCAAGAACCAACCTCAACAAAGGCAGTCTGGGCTGGCCCACTAAAAACCATGACTTCAGTCTTAATTTCCTTGAACTTAAAAGGTTGACAGCCATACAAGCCATTGCATTTTCAAGGGATTTTAAGCAGTGAATTCACACAGTTCCTATCATTCTTTTGAGCGGGATTTAAATCTGACCATCATTAGCCGGACAATGGAAGTAAAAACCATGCTTCTTTATTACAGAACCAAGCAAGAGGAAATATAGGGCAAAGAGAAGGGGGCAAAGAGTGAGCAGCGGGCTCTGATACATCTCAGGGGAAAATAGCCTCCACAGTGCACTTTCTGTGGGAGTTTAAAACATCCAAACCCTTAGAATTTAAAGAAAACATGCGAACAGAACCTTTAAACCTTATCAAAAACTGAAGTGGAGGTGAAAATCAGGTCGAAGTGTGCATACCAAGGACATTTCCTGCGGGGACTTCCTCCAGCTCTTCTAGGTCTCTGCCCATCAGCAGGTACAGGCTTTTCACAGAACAACAGGACAGATGAGGTACATCATACACACAGTCTGTTGCACTGTATCCCTCTGGGAGCTAGTAGAAGTAGGACAAATATCAGCACTGAGACATGTTAGAAAACAATGAATGCAATTCTTTGACTTTTTTTGTTTGTTACATTTCTAAACTCAAATGTCTCCATGTTATAATACCTTTCACTTTAACTCTTTTTCTGAGTGTCCATCAAAATTCACAAAAGCATTCGGAAACCTATGAGCAGCAAGATGAAGGCTAGTTCCCAGGAAGAAGATGCCGAACATGGTCGATGAAATGCCAAGAAATCAGTGCGTGTACAAAAAAAAACATCTCAATAGCAAGGTGAAGATGGGACCAAATCTCAGAATAAAATCCATCTATGCCTATAGGACAGCCCTCCATTATATGAACTGAAAAAGTCAATGCAGAGCAGGAACAAAACATGTAACAGCCTGAAGTCTGTGCTGGTAACTGGCCTTTGTTTTGTTCTGGCCTGCTTTGGTCCGCTCGGGGAGCTCGAGGACTGGATCTAAAAGAACCAGAAGGAGTGACCAGACCCTTTCTCTGATGAGGTGTATCATTGTCCCTTTCGCATGCTAGACAATGTGTACACGAGGAGAGCAGAGATCCAAAACCAACACATGGGCCACACATCCCCACTCTTGTAGCTTCTCTGGATAAAACATACCCTACAGAGCACATCCTGTGTCCTCACCATCACACATCATGGCAACTGTTTTGTCTCAGCCTTCCACTCTCCTCTCCAATGCAAGTAGCCCTGTCTCCTGGGGTTCCTTTATCATTACTGAAGTATCCGTTTAGCAAACAAGTTTTTCTTCACAAAAATACCACAGACTTAATCGGTGGCTAACTTCCACCAGCTCGACTGTGCCTCTCTGAGGGAGAAATGGTTTGGTTGGACAGTCAGGGTCCATTCTCAACATGGTGACAGAGGTTTAAACCATTTCTACCCTTGGACAAAGAAAAAAAAAACGGACAGGAGGTGGGATAATACGACTATCAAAAAACCATGAAACTATCTTATAAATTTTTTTGTTTCTAACCAAGAAAGATCAAATCATCATATGTATATAACTAATCCAACACCAGTGTTAAACAGAACAAAGATAACAGTTCACAAACAGAAAACTTGGCAGTAAACTTGTCACATTGTCTTGAATTTTAAAGCTGAATTTACCAGACCTAAAGAAATGTGTAGGATCTATCATATCGTGGTATATGCAACTGACTACATTTATTTGAGACAATTTCATGCATAAAGCAAAAGAAAAGTGCAATGACTTACCAAGCTCAGGCCCTGGGCTGGGTCATACTTTGGTCCCAGCACAAATATTCTTTGACCTTTCCTGACCATCCCACTGTAGACCCGGGCAAATGCAATGAAGACATCCTCTTCCTCCACGGGTTTCGGATCTGTTACTATCTGACTCCCCACATTAGCTGACCAGGGTGAAAAAAAAGACACAAAATTAACTCAAGACCAGTTTTTTCTGTCTGAACCGAACAGTTTAGTTTAATTACTACAGTTGCGTTATGCAACATTTGAATTGTTCAAAGAATAGTCAAGTTCTGAGCGGCATATGTCCGAGATGAAACTCACCAGGAGTCTGGTCTTCCAGTTTCCTGTCTGTGGCTTCTTTTTTGCCTTCTGTAATTTCAGCCATCCGCTCTGCATGTCTTCGCCTTACAAGCTCCCTGCGCTGGACAATCTCCTCCTGGCTCAATGGCCTTTGGACAGTCAAGACATAAGAGGAAAGAAATGTATCAGACATGCTGAGGATTGAACGACATTCTTACACACACCCCTCAGCCATAACATTCGGAGCCTCCTTCCTAATACAGACTGCTCTCTTCATCCTGCCAACAGAGTTCAGAGCAGTAAAGCATTTTTAAAGAACATCTAAGGATGACGTCAAAAATCTTGGCCTTGCTTTCCATAATATTTCTGAAATTTGGAGGCCAGGGTAACAATTCAGAGTCCATCATGAGCTTTTCTGCAAAGATCAACATTGTCCATCTGAACAGAGCTGCTCATTAGATGTGTTTAGGTGGGATGCTGTGACTTTTTTTTTCTTTCCAGAGGTACCTTTGTGCACACTCAGGATCTTCATCCTGAATGTACTTTTTTAACAGGCTTTGTATAAACTGGCTGTTTTTGGAGTCTAACTGTATTACAGTGAATGGGACTCTAATTAGATGGAATCAGGCTGCTTTTCTAAGGGCTTTTTTATGGTTTGGCACTAAATAATTTAAACTGAATGAAAGTGTTGAATGATTTTTCCCATAACTGTTCAACAGTTAGTGTTGGTTTTGGATGAGTGAAGTAGCTTTAAGTGTCTTTTTAAAGCCTTCCACATCCTCTACGGCCTTGCAGTTGCAGCACAGCTCTTTGGGTGTGTGCTCTGCTCTGATTGGCTCCACTGGCTGCTCCTGTGATGGTGTGCGTGACCAGTCTTGCTGCTTGTTGTGTGTTGAAGGTAAACTGGGTTTTAATCAAAGTATTTCCTTAATCCCTTTGGTTCAGTCTCCATTTTATGCTGTGACCCAACAAGCCAAGTGGAAGTAGCAGTTATAGAAAAAGAACTTGAGTTATTACTGTGGCAGGTGGATTAGCTTTTTTGAAACATTAAATTGCACCACACGTTTCCAGGTTTTAGTAACAGGCAAATAAACTGTGTGATTTAAACTCAACATACCCATAGTGGGCCGTGACCAGCCAGAAAGACAGTGTTTAATTATCGTTACAAGCACAAAAGAATGAACCCTTCATTCATGGAGAGGGTTGAAGCTCTCCATGGGGCTCAATCTGGTTTAGTAATTGACTCGGATGGATTTGGTTCCAAGAGTTTTTCTGTTTGGCAAACTGTTTGTTTTCCTCCCAGAAGTAAGACAAAGCATTGAACGAGAAAAAGGCCCATTGTTCAGACGAAAAGGGGAATGATTAGCTGCTCACCACTCGACTTACAACCAGTTAACTTGGGGTGAAACGACCTGTTGCACTTAAGTGATACTTTCCTCTACACAAATAGTAACGACCATTGGTCCCCTCCCACCAACACTTTGTATTTAAGATAAAGTGTACAAGTCTTCAACCCAACCTTACTCTTTTGCCAAGATCTAAAGTCAACTATGAATTGATTAGCTTGTGTCTGATTATCTGCCCTATGCAGCCCTGCGTAGACTTAAAGCATGAGTAATAAGACTAAAAACTTCATATTCACCTCTGTCTGAACTGTGGCAGGGCCTTCGCGTCCACGGCAAACATCTTAGATACAAAGATGATGACCGGAGCATCCTTCCCACTGGAACACTGGAGGAATGCTGAAAAACAGACCACATCTGAGATCTCCACACAGGAGCCAGAAAACGAAAACTTCTCAAGTGCTCAATCTCTGCTGGCTTCTTCTGATACAAAACTAAAAAAGTGCAACATTGTTTCCAAAAAGAGGTTACAATGATTTCAAAATGATCAAAAACTGTAACTATTTCTATTTACATTTGAAAATGTCCTTTTAAAATTCAAATGTGCAAATCTTCTGACATTAAATGAAAAGAAATGTAACAATAAATTAATCCTACAAAAAAAAGGTACATTGTTGTTGTTGCTGACTAGATGATATCAACAATAGACTGAATGAACTGTACAGTCATTGACAATAGGAAGTCAATCACCAAAAACAGGCAAGTCTCAGCAGTTCTCTGCAGCCCTACGTCCTGGCTAGCCCTGGGGACCCCACAGCTCAGCTGGGATTAGCCCAAAAAAAGCCATGGGGTGCCCCTTTTTGTGGGCTCAGAAACACTGGGGTTGGGTGCAAGCGGGACGTAAGGGGTAGGCAAAAGTGGGAACCTGGTTACGACACATTCCTGCTGTCACAGGGGTGGATCTTGAGCTGGTGTGTGAGATGGTTCAGTACCAAATAGTTTGAGTTGGGCTCAACAAAAACTCAGGGAGAGAGTATTATGTGTTCTGCTCATCTGAGAATAGGTCAGGGAGGCAAGAGGAGAACAAACTCGGCATGCTTCCCCTCAGCAACTCTGGAATTGTGAGGCATTCCCAGACCAGAAGGAGTGGGTAATTCCTCAAGTCTCCTCAGTTAAAGGATTTCACCAGGAGGCATCTTCAATGACTCAATCAAAGCAGCTTTTCAATGGAAAAGGCCTTGATTTAAGGCTGAGCCCATCCCCTATCAAAATAAACTAAATTCAGCTGATTTTAATCTGTAAAATCATCATTTCTGTGCTCATTCAAATGCACCATTTCCTGTAATGCCTGTACATTTTGGGAACATCTGTAGTGAACTGATATTTATTCAAATAGGTATAAATGACTAATGATACAAATTAAACATGATATCAGCTATTTGAGATCGGTGGATGGGTGTGCACGTTTCTACCTGTTTTCAGATTCTGGGTCTGCTCAGGCAGCGAGTCAAACCGGTGCGCTCCGATGTTCATCAGTCTCTCCACCCTCTCTGCTGTCATGTCTATTGGACTGGGCAGCTTCTCACAAGCCATCACTGTAGTATGTGTCAAAGGAAACTCAGAACAAAGTGACCAGAGATCTAAAAGAATTCGAAACACTGGTTCTTACATTTCAGAAATTAGAACCTTTGGTGCAAATATTATTCTTTTCAGCTTATCACTGTAAAATGTGTCAAACAAACCCAAAACAAATCAACAGCCCTGGTGGCTATTTGTAGTGCAGCAGAGGGTTTGGGCCCTTGGGCACCCCTTTAAAAAAGGTGCCATGGGGGACAGATTCTTTTAGATCTTTGGTCACTTTGTTTCGAGTTTCCTTTGACACATTGTCACTTCGATAGCAGCCAAGAAAAAAAAAACACTAAAGCTAGAAACCCATCAGGTCAGACATCAAAGAAACAATTAATTTCTGATACTGACGCAGAATTTTGTGTAGTGGACAATTCAAAGTGCTTCAGCTGTCATATCAAAGCTAAAGAGAAGTGTTTTCAGCCTGGATTTAAACATTCAGATTTGAGGTCTGGTTTAGACTCTACTCACCGGATTCTGGATGGTTTTAGATGGTAAAAGGCTTCTGATGTTATCGATTAAATATGGCTGTTAAAGTTGATGTCTGATGCGAGTATTACTGAGATATTTTACCTGATCTTTGGGTCCGAGAGAGAGTCTGAATGTGACAAATGACACTTTTCTTTGTTTCTGAGGGCCACAGACAATGGGCCTCTGCACAAGCTTTTCTAGGCTACTAAATAAAAAGCTTGAAACATCAAAGGATACAGAGGACGGCCTGCGACACAGGCAGCCACTGGCTGCAGATGGCAGACAGCAGGACTTTTGGGTCTGAGTGACGCAGGTCCCTCGGAGCAACCTTTATCTCCAGGGCCGACACCATCTTTTCCACTCTGTCTTTGTCTCTGATCAAAGAACAATATCAGACATCCTATCAGACCGAGACCCAGTGAAAGCTCCGCACACATGTCCTCGAATAGGTTCTCCCACCTCTTTGTTACGACGGCTTCATACAAGCTCCAAATGTTGTTCAGCACAAGCTGCACAAACAGCGGCTTCTTCCCTTTTGCCTGCGGAACATAAAAGGTTTCGTGAAAGATGAGAAAAAGCAGGTTTAAAATGCCATTTCCACAACTCTCTTTGGACCGAGCTGCAACACTGGATACAAACACGCTTCAAATGGTAGCAGCCAAAAGAAAAAAAACTGTAATAAACCTATTTTAAAATGGCTTTTTTTTTTGTGTGCGACAGGTCACTCCTTTTGAAATCAAGAGACGATGGTAACCCACTGCTTCCTTCTAAGACCTGGTGCATTTTCTCTTCTGGCTAAATAACTTTACACATTCAAAGGTTTGCCTCTTCTAAAATGTTAAGCATTTTACACTTGATGAAATCAACATACAAAGGTGGTGGGATTTGCTTTAATAGCAGAAAATGAGCGGAACTGAGCCTCTGATCATGTCTCATTGAGAACCATTCAAAAAGTAGTATTGGTACTATGTAGTAACACACGTAATGCTAACCCCGTCTATGATAAGTCTAATTTCTTTCTACCCAAAGTCTGGCAGTAAAAATCATCAGATGAAACCCATTGGAGAAAGGTGAGAGGGACACATTAATCAGTACTTACCTCAGCTCCTTTCATGATCCTTTTTGCTTTGGCATCGAGGTAGAAGTCTCCCCACAATGTTTTCAGCAGCACCTCAGCCTTAATACCCATTCTCTCACTGTAGATGTGGGCAAACTGCTGGACGCTACACAACACACATATCAAGAGGTGAGCTGGCTTTCTTCATTTCAGCAAAAATTAACAAGTGTAAAGTCACTGATACTGTAATTCTCTGGTGACCTGAGCTCAGTGGTCCAGCAGGAAGGGTCAGACTTTTATGAGCTGAGCTAAGGGCATCTTTTCAGAGAAGAGTTCAGTTTAATCCACAGATGAAAGGTTCACCTTTGGGAGATTTAAAGAAAAACCTGTTCAAGAATGAGACCTTCCAGTTTTCTAACATCACATCAAAACATGTGGCAGTGTGATCAGGTGTGGAAGAGTTGTTGAGCCTGAGATGCACACCGTAACGCCTCATGTCTTTTAAAGGTGGGCGGAGCCATGGCGACAGGAGTTTTGTAGTTGAGCATCTGGGAAAGTTCAGTATGCTTATCCTCATAAGGTTTTATAGTTGTTGGAGGGGTTCAAATATTAGGCCTAGATGAAGGCCAAAATGGCACCGAAGCTCCGATTTCAAATCAAAATGGCAGACCTTCTTAATGTAGCCACTGCGTGCACGCAATGGGCACGTGCCAATTTTTATAGCAGTGGATGAAAGCAGGGGGCATGCAAGAATTTGTGCAATGTGGTGAAGGGCACTCAAGCCCATTTGTATAGACCTCAAATGTAGTTATGTTTGAGGGTGTGTGCTTGAGATAAAAACTTCCTGTTTCACAGCAACGCACAAAGAAGGCTACATCATGAAATAGATGTGCACACACTGTCAGAAGGCTACACACACACACAGTTCAGATGTTGTGTGACAACCCATTACACACCACTTCCTGTGGGCTATTGGCAAGATGTATCCATATCCTGGGGGGCTAAAAAGCCTTTAGTCAGCCACTGGTTGAACAGGTTCTCTCAGATAGATGAGCTCTGTAATTCTCATCATAGGTACACTTCATGTAGAAGAAGCAAAATGAAAACTCCCGGAATTCACACCCTGGGATTGTGAAAGAATGTATCTGTGAATTATGGTGGAAAATAGATATTTGGTCAAGAACAGAATTTCAGCTCAGGAAATTATTCTTTCTTCAAACACGATGAGTGAAGTTTTTACCAAAATGCCCTAGTTTGGTTTCCTCTGGCCCCATGATATTCACCCTTCTTGATAATCCATAAGCTCTCTGGCAAACTTCAAACGGGCCCGGACATGTTCTGGCTTAAGCAGGGGGACAGGCCTGCCACTGCAGGACCAGAGTCCCTCTGGGATCGCCACATCACCACGGCTCGCCAGTGGTCTTGTATGTCTTCCATTGTGTGACAATGGCTCCCACAGTTTATTTATTCACACCATCCTGTTTGCCTATTGTAGCTTCCCTCTCCCCGGCCTGGTGTCCCTGGAGAGCTCTTTTGGTTTGAGCCATGGCAGAGTTTGATTCTGTGGACAGGTGTCTCTTATGCAGGTAACGAGGTCCAACAGGTGCCATTAATACAGAAAACGAGCTCAAACAGGTGCCATTAATACAGGTAACGAGTGGAGCACAGAAGAGCTTCTTAAAAGAGAACTCACAGGTCTGTGAGAGCCACAAGTCTTGATGTTTGTGGGTAACCAAATACTTATTTTCCACCAGAATTTACAAATAAAGTATTTTAAAACTCTTACAATGTGATTTTCTGGATTTATTTTATTTCATTTAGCCTCTCCTCGATTAAGTAAGGATTACAGACCTAATTTTTCTGAGCAGGAAAACATGCGCAATCAGTGTCTGAATAAATAATTTTTCTTCCAATGTATATCTGTTCAGAACACCCCTGGGAATAAGCCATGTACATTTGTGTGTGATATTATTAACAGTCTTCTATGGTAACTTGTTGTTTTATGTACCTTAGAAGAGAGGCAGGTAAAAAGTGAAACATGTGATTTCCTGTTGCCACTGAGTGCTGCTTTGGTAATTAAAATATGCCACTAGAAAAGTTTGTTCAGGAGGTGGGAGTCACTGGATTCAAAATGGGAGAAGTATTTCAATCTAATTTGGACTCGGATCCACTGAATCAAATGCAGGATTTAGATTTTTTTTTTAATAATACATCTCTAAGTTCATATTGGGAAATTTTAAGAACTTTCTGAACTAATCTCTGGAAGACTTTGAGTCACCAATGGTGCTGAAATGGCCCACTTCCTGTTAGGTTTGGTAAATTGTGAGAGGGTTGTTTGTTGGTGTTGACGTTTTCCATAGGATTATCATTTTTAATTTAGATCCGGTGGTTGTGGTTAAGGGGCCACCACAAAAGGTGGCACTTTGCAGTCATGTCACAACAATTCCTGAGAAAAAAAAAACTTCAGACACCTTCAGATGGGCATCCAGAAAAAAAAACTAAAGGCTTGTAAGATTACTAAATCTGGTCATGTGGCGCCCCATTACTCCAGGTTTTGCTTCAACAGCACTTTTCACAAAATCTCAATGTACTACCATTGTAAAAACAGTAAGAATAAACATTTAGCATTCTGACAGCACTGGCTAACCTGCTGAATTACACACTATATTTCCCTGTGTTGGATCAGCATTGCCTGCCCATTTATTGTGAAATGCCATGTGATTTTCTAAGTTTAAATTAATCCATTACTAAACAGAAGAAGGTTATCTTCATTTACCTGAAACCCCATCCATCTATGGCGCTGGCAAACACCACATTTCCTTGGTCGGGAGAAAAGTAGAGTTGCGAGTCATCGGCCTCCTCCAACCCCGAGCTCCAGTCATAAACCTGGTCACCGCTCAAGGCCCCGCTCTCCTTTTGGTCCTCCTTCACTCTCTCTGCCCGCTCCTCCAGCACTTTGGATGTGAACAACGTCCCCGTTACAGCATTCACCTATGTGAGGAAAAATGATCAGCGTTTAACTAAAAATACACAAAAGGTGGCCCCGTCATCCTGCAGTAGATCCAGTCTTTGGAAGATGAGAATAAAAGCCCCTTGCCTGTTCCAGGATCTTCTTCAGGTGAGTGTAAGCTTCTTCACAGGAGAGTTTCAGCTCCATGATGAGCCTGTCCATTTTGTTGATGACCAGAACAGGCCTGATGTTCTCCAGCCATGCCTGACGGAGCACAGCCTGTGTCTGCAAGGAACACAAGCATGCAGAATTAAGGGATAGATTTGCTGCCTTCAGAAAGATGTTTTAGCTTTATACATGTTCATTTACTAACCTGGGGTTAGTATAGATTTTGGATTAATTTAGTGGATTTGTGACAATTACAACGCCATAGAAAATGCCAGTGGGTGGGTTAGGGGTTTGTCTCTTTTTAACCAAGATCACTGTGCTGTTGACAAATAACCACCCCCACCTTAACGGCCTCTGGGTTGACAATAACACGTACCTGAGGACATACTCCCTCCACAGCATCAACGACGACGATGGCTCCATCACACAGTCTGACGGCCGTGGAAACCTCGGAGGAGAAGTCCACGTGACCAGGGGAGTCGATGAGATTTAACAAGTACTCCTCTTGTCCTGCACGGAGCAAATAGACAAGAACGCTTAGGCATTCTCCTCAAACTTTTTTCTACTGTTTTCCTTTGTAAAGCTTGCAATCATCATCACAAAAATCTGTAGACATACATGTTAGCACAATATTAGAGTAAAAAACTGCTACAAAGAAATAACAGCTCGTTGAAAGTTGAGATATTAGCGCATATTATGACAAACATTATCAAAAGTATACTAAAAGGTGCACATTAACAGGAGGCATTTGCATAATGATGGATACCAGCGTTGGTCACAAGTCAGTGTGTGTGTGTGCTGCTCTGTTCGACATTTCAGATTTACAGTGTGTAACAGGCACACATTTACCAATGTGACGGACTTTGTGAAAAAAAGACAGTGTTAAAAGCATATTTTCAACACTAAATGTATGAAGATAGCAATAATGAGCAACTAACAACAGACAGAGGGAGGCAGGTGGCCTTATAGCAAACTTCCACATTCAAACTAAATCAAGAAGTAAGATCATTACGCTTAATGTCTGATTTAATATACTTTATGTTCAGCTTCACAACTCTAAGCACAGTCAGACATTTACAATGAGCTTTACCTTTGCTAAAATGCAGAGAAATGGCACTGGACTTCATCGTTATCCCTCTGATCTGCTCGTCCTCTCTGCTGTCCAAATACCTCAGCTACAAAATGAGCACATTTCAAAGAACAAAAGAAAACGGGGAACAACCGAGACCACCTGTAGCGTGCAACATTCACTGCCTCGCACAAAGCGCCTTACCTTCCCAGCCAGCCGACTTGAAATGATGCCATTGCTTGCCACCAAGCAGTCTGCCAGCGTGGTTTTGCCTGAAAAGATGGACAGGTTCCAGGTGAGTGGTTTCTGAAGAAATAGTCTCACAAGTCACTGTAGTGGCTAAATATCCGTTCATGGGTTGGTGACCATTTCTTTGTTGAGATGAATGCAAATAAGCACTCAGTCAGACGGAATGAACGAGTCTACGCGTGCTAAGGTTGAACGATGGTAGAAAACAGCGCGTTCGCCCCGTCTTTACTGAAAATCTCAACACGACAAACGCACGTCAGTTTTACATTCGAGAAATGCGCGCGCTCAGAAACGCCATTGCTCAGCGTCAGTTCCTATTGGCTAGTCATTCAAGATCATTTTAAACATGAAACTAAATGCAGATTAAACTAAAAAGAAATTATAAAAATAGCAAAGCAGTAACGTAGTAATACTACAATCATAAATATTTTATGACATGCCAATACCAAAATCATCCAAAAATAATAACTAAACATGAGCAAAAACCACTGACTAGCAAATGGCACCAACAGTCACTGTTCCAATGGGGGTAAAAAGACAAATGCCTCTCTACGGAGACAGGTTAGCCCTATAATGCCAAATGTATCATAGTTGATAAACACGGTTTCTGAAGACTTTTTGCATCCTTCAGTGGTAAAAGCTTTGCTCAAACCCCTGTTGTACACATCCAGATATAACTCTACAGCCAGTAGAAGACTACACCAAAATATATTTTTGACTCATTGAACGCTAATTTCATCAAAATAATTTCTGTTTTTTTTTCTTCATGTGTTGTTGAGGGGCAAAGAAAGACTCTAAACTAAAAAAAATCCAATATTCTTCCTATTTTTCTTGGGTTTTAAAAGGTTAGAGAGGCTTTCACCCACAAATAAAGAGGTAGGGGTGGAGATGACCATGGTCATTTTAATGTCTTGATTTCCAGCAGGAGTTGTTGGCTGACCTTCTGCTTTTTTAAAAGCCCGGCCATCAGGTCATAAACACCCATAAACCAACCTGTTGGTTGGTCAGAACGGGGCCCTGTCCCTGAAGTTCCATTTGAACTAAGCTCTGGGTCCTCTGCATGCTTATATAGGACTTGGTCTGAGTTGGTGGCTGGACTCTGTACACTGTATGGGAGTGGACACCAGTAGCCCCTAGAGATGCTGAGGTCAGCTCTCACCATGATCCACGTGAGCCAGGATGCACAGGTTCCTGATGCTGGCGGGGCTTTTCTGGAGGGCAGTGAGCTTGTCCACGCTGATGGGTCCCATCACCAAAACACCAACACCTAAGACGAGTATTATGTGTGACAGGCAAGGACTGACAGTTAAGAGGCGGAAGGGGCTCTAATAGCTGACCACAGCTATCGAGGAGCTGTGGTCAGACCAGAGGCTGCTGCCGGACAGAAGGCAGCAGCGAGACTTTTCCTCTCAGAGCAGCGGGCCTGGAACTTACCGTCCAAGCCTGTGTGGAAGGAAACAGCACAAGCACCGTCTAGCCGAGCAGACGCACGACGGAGGCGGACACAACTCACCCACGTTGTTGTTGTTGCTTCGCTCCCCGACTCGGCTTCCGTATTTTTCTTTTTCTTCTCTTTCGTGGAGCAGCCGGCGTCCGTCGTGTCTCGTTACTGCCCTCTAACGGACACAATTCCTCATGGCGCCAAGTACGTCTGGAGCTTATGTTATTTTGAAAATGAAAACTTGGATCATCTTTTTTTTTCGTTGCAATATAGTTCAGAGATTTTGGCTTGACTTTCAAACATGGATACATTCCAAAGGGATTCAACTACCAACTCTCTCTTCAAAAGAAATACAGTTTGGAATATTTAATCAAATTGGCAGTAATGAAGATGGCATGAATAATCTAATTATATTGGGTAAATATCATTTACATAAATGCCCAACATATCTCACTGGAATAATGAGCTGAGTTGTAACGCAAAATCTATAAGTTTAATAACAGGAAAAAATGCTAGCAAATTTCATTACTTTCTATTTAAATTTAATTTGACTGATTAATGCCCTTCCTATTTTATTTGACTTATAATGTGCTTTCCTTAATGATTATTGTTTTTGTTTTTATTTTATTATTATTATTATTTTATTTATTTATTTATTTATTTATTTATTTATTTATTTATTTATTTATTTATTTATTTATTTATTTATTTATTTTATCTGTCATTGTGTGTTTTCTTGGATTTAACTTTTTTTATACATCGCCCCTTCTCAGGAAAAATGTTCAATGTAATTGTTGTTCGTTACCTTTATGTATTGTCAATTGTTGGATAATAAATAAAGGAGAAAAAAAAAAGTCTGGAGCCTGTGTTCCTGTTGGTGACGTAATCAAAATAGCCTTGGCCATAACAGGAAAATCCCAGGAAAGAAAATCGTAATTCAAAAATAGTGAAATTAATCTTGCGGACACTGAGTTAAACTCTATATATAATATTACCTTAAGTTATTTTATGTTAAATAGGTTTGTAAAATATTAACAAATTTAACCAAAAAACATTTATGTCTCACAATTATGAATGGTGGAGGGATAGGGTCAGGGTTAGGGTTAGGACATTGTTTGTCTTCCGATTTCGTATAGACAGTAAAGTTTCGTTTCCACCTGAGAAACTTAATCAAAATGTCCGACTTGGATGTGGGAGGAGTTGGATATCCAACCTTGGAGTCCTACAGACTGCAGCCAAAGGCTACTCCATGGCGCCGGGTTCTTCAGCCTGTCCCCCCTCAAAGCCTGTCCCAGAGTATCTCCTCATCTCTCTGCATACCTGATGGCATGCATCTTCTCTGGGCCGCATACATGTATCTTAAGGTTTCTTAAGGTCACCTGCCCCGAGGAACCCATGATTGTGACCGTTTCCGAACACTGGCATTGTTTCCCTTTAATTACTTACCTATTTTTATTTTGACTAAGGTTTCTACTCTGTCTGTAGATTACTACACTGTTAATGATGCATACGGCTGAACTTTACTCCTAATTTAACTCTACAACAGTTCCATTTGACAAAAGTCTAGAGGTAAGATGATGTCGTGAAATTGTGACCTGGAAGTCGCAGTCTGGTATACACTCAGCTTTTGCTGTTTTATCTAATGTCCATTTTTTACCCTCCCTCTTCAGTATCTTGTCTGCAGCAGTGATTTCGATGGGTGGTAGCTTCTGTGGTCTCTACAGCCATTGTCAGTGGGGATGTGAGACTTTGTGAGATTCACACTCAAAGCCGCAAACAATATAAATCATCATTTCACTGTCCCCGTGATGAGTGTCCGGCTAGATCAAACACAGATGGAGACCCCAATGACATGCTGGTCAGCAGTGTTCCCTGCTTTAACAGGACAAGAGAGACCAGGAGGCTAATCAGGTACTGAGCCAGTGTAGAGGTTTGCTAGATTTAGGGGATTTTCTCACTGAGTCTGGGCCATCTCTGTCAACTAGTTTTCTGGGTTTGCCTTGCTTGAATCGTTTTGCAGGATTTACAACGCACCTATTTAGTGAATCAGCTGTCTGGAACATGTTCGTGTGCATCACAGATGGCTTTGTATTGACAGTAAATCTCACTGTAGTCGTTTACATTGCATCAGGTTGTTCAAAGAGTCAATCAAAATCGAATATATCTTTGCAGGATTTGAATGATGCCTTTTAAAGACTCCTTCCGCCTTAAATGGTTGATGGAGATCCTGCTCCCTGTGCCCCGTGTTTCAGACCTACATGGAATCAGGGAGAGTATCCTTTGTTTTTATTAAGTAATATAAATGGTTTTGGCATGCCTGAATTTAACATTTTTACTTTTCCTGTAAATTCCCGTTAAAAAAGGATTGTCTTTATTTACATAAACTACTAAATTAGTTAGTTGTGTTCATAGCTGGTTTCACAAAACCTAATTTGTTTGTATTCAGCTTCAATAATAGAAATAACAAGAATCAAAATAAAGAATTCATGATTACTAATCAACCATAACATGGAAAAGAAGCAGTTTGGAGCTCAAGATATGTAAAAGTGGAGTGAAATCTTTTTCCATGGGAAGTCTGAGGAACCTGTGAGTACTTTGTTTACACCACTGGGGGGCAGCACAAGCCTGAGGGAGGAGGAGAAGAATGTGGACTGAATTCAATGCTATTCTAATGTCTGTAATGATATGCCCACTTTAGAAAATTGCATGAATGACTAGAATTAAGCTTTAATTTATGAACATTATTGCATTAAGGTTTCATTTTGCCTCTATTGTACAGCAGACTGTAAATCAAATTGGATTGAATTGATGTATTGAATGTTTAAACAACATTTTGTATTCTTTCTATTATTATTATGCTTCTTAATTTGATAATTGGAGATTTTACATTAAAAAAAAAATCGGAATTATTTGGATTGATAAACATATTTGATATGGGATTCTAAGGAAACTGTTCCATAAGCAAAATTCATGAACTCCTGATTCAAGACAGTCCCAAAGACTTTGGTGAAATCACCCTTGGTTGTTTTACTATTATACTGCTAATGTCACTGCAGCCAAAAAACTCTTTATTCAAGAGAGCAGGACACATTTGAAGAATTCTGGACACTTGTTCTTTTTCTCACAAAAACACATGCATGAAGCTTTGAATACATGTATATTTCCTCTCTCTCTCTCTCTCTCTATATATATATATATATATATATATTGTATTTATTCAAATTATGTTTAACAAATGTGAAAGTGAATTTACCAAGACACCTCATGTTTTCTTCCTTCTTCCAAAGCAAATTGACCTTCCAAGGCACTTTTACTGAATTTTAACTCAAAAGGCGATGGATTATATTTACAAATCAATCCAATCAAACAAAATCTGGTCTTCCTCAAATTAGACAATTCTAAGAGATGGAAACTTTAATTAATTAATTCATAACTTTTCAAGGTGTTGTAGGCCATCCACAAAAAGAAAAGTAAAAGTAAAATCTGTAAAAGTCAGCAGTCCATCACACAAATGACAACACAGGCTCACACTGACCCCCATGCAATCAGTTTAGAATCCCAGATAAACCTACCGTCTATGTTTTGGAATGTGGAAGGAACCAGGTCATTACTTATAACTGCATATGAAAACCATTTATTTCTTCAAAACTAGAATTCTCCTTTGTAACATTTCAAAATCTTTGATAAACTTTATGCATGCCTCATTGCATTCAGTCTGAAATAGTTTTAGTTTAGAAAGGATCAAGACAAGGATGCTTATCATCTCCTTTCTATGTCCCAAATTAGCAATTTTGTTTCAGCTTTGTGTTCCAGGAAGCCCCTACATTCCTGATTCCCCTTTGGGTGAACAGTTTGTGTAAGTGAGAAGCTGCTTCTCATAGTAACACTGGTGCTTTTTTCTCTACAGCTGTGGGACGTGACACCCGGCTTTAACATTGTCAAACAAATGTCAATGTGTGCCCCGCACACGGTCAGTAAAACGCAAATTTGTCGTCATGTTGAAAAGGCCAAATGAACAGCATTGAAAAAATGTCAGGTGACTTTAAAACAAACTGCAAAACCAATCACTCTTCATCTGCCCCCTCCAAGACAGTATTCGATCCACGACAACAAAAAAATAGTGCACTTTAACCCTGTAATGCCAAATGTATCATATTTGATACATACGGTTTCTGAAATGTTTTGCGTCTGACACCTTTTGCATAATTTAATGGTAAAAACTTTGCTCAAAATCCTATTGTACACAATCAGATACACCTGATAACAGGGCGCAGAAGACTACACGAAAAATAATCTTGACTTAGTAATAAATCAGTAATAAATGATTCATATAAAAAATGTATTTCTGTTTTTTCTTTTTACATATTTTGTCAAAAGGCCAAATAAGGAAGTCAAACAAAAACAAAAGTAATTTTCTGTTTTTTTTTTATTCTTGGATTGGGCTTTAAAGGGTTAAAACAAGTCAGAGACACATCGTTTTAGGGGATACATTACTTTAAAAGTGGACTGAAACATCCAATTTGTTCCACAGAGTTGCAGTTTTGTGGAGAAACCCGAGGTACTTCTTCATAGTTCAACTAGTTTTCTCTGCTGAACGTTATTGCCTACATACAGCGCACAGGGGGACCGAAATATCCCACTGAGCTCTTTCTGAGTGGTACTAGATTTCTGCAACATGCCAGAGAAAAAAAGACGGGGGCCACTTGTCAGAACTGGGTTTTCAGTTCCTAAGTGATGAGGAAGAGCTTTGCAGGCTCACTAATGTACAGTAAATGTGACGGGTGGGTTGAGTTGTTGAGTTATGCAACGCTTTCAGCCCTCCGTAATAGTGCGATACTTGGGAATGTTGTGTAACAGATTTGTCGTTCTCGCTTTTTTAATGCTGTCCCCGGTCCATTTCCATCCGTGCCCTTTGACTTTGCCTTGCAGTATTATAGTGATTAATTCACCTCTTCAGTAACAGAGGGGTTTTTTTTTATTTTGTGGGTGGAGTTGTGAAGAG